TGTCGGACGGTTTAGTAATGATATCATTGTCAAATGATCCATTATGATGTAAGAATAAGGCAATATCATCTCGTTCATCATCACCAATATCACCTGATGAGCTTGTAATGTTCACTGAACCTCTTGCTATTGATGGTAGGACAGGCGTCGTTAATTGTAATGTTAAATTATCAGCATTAACTTTAGTTGTTATTAGTGGTGATATCGTTGTTTTTTTATATGTACCATCATCAAGCGTATTATTAACAACAGTTACTTCTGTTACAGCTGTACCTGTTTGACGACGATCACGGAATAATTGTAGTATTAAATTATTTGCCGTGGTACGATGCTGTTTTGCAGCTAATTCAATAGCTGCTTTTGGTCTTAAATATTTACGATTTTTTCGTGCACGTGCCATAATTACTATGAATATTCGATAGTAAATAGCAAATATGATAATACACGGGATAAAAAATGAACCCAGGGATGAAAAGATAAGAAATTTATTATTAAAAAACGAACAATCGCCTTTAGATCGTGGAAATGACTCAACATCGGATTTATTGACACCACTAGTCAAATAAGAGCATAGAAGATTATCGGTTCAAATCCTGAGAAATATCGAAGAGAGATGTCATACCTGACTATTGGCAATGCGATAGAAAATGAGATAAGCCATACAATAACAATCATTATCGATACACGTTTTGGACTTTTATGACGAGCATATTTAAGTGGTTTTGTTACAGCAATGTATCTAGAAACAAAAAACAAGGAGTATTTAAACTAAATATACGAAAACGTTGAGAGCATAAGGCACCTGTCTACGGCAATTGCAACCTAAAAAATAAAAGTTCAAATCAGATTTCAGAATAAATAATCTGTGCTTACGAACCAGATTCAAGATGGAGGCGGTGCATGCCATACAATCGGATGCGACCCAAAAATCACACAATCGATCGGATAATTCCCACGCTTTATTAAACTAGAAAAAGATGTCAGTATAATTAAGTACGACTGTTTATCATTCTTTATTGGAAGTAAAACATATTTATTGGGGATGAAAGCGGTAGGGGTCATTCTCGGCAAAAGGATTTAACTATGTACCGACGATAAAAAAGTTGTACTTTCCTTGGTTTGCTTAAAAGACCAGAATACTAGTCAGTGAAAGCTAATCGGGGTGTTCAGGTTTATCCTGTATCACATAATCTGAAAGTTACTAGAATCTAACTATGTACATTAAGTGGTACTATTAGAAGTATACAAAAATCCCCGCTTGTCTCTTAAAAAAGTTAGCTGGACCATAGTCACTCTCAAGTTACAAGTTATGATTTTGGAAAAAACAAAAATACTTTAGAAAAAACTCACTTTCCAACTCATATCCTAACGTTGTTTATGTTCATATGAAAATATCTTCTACGCTTGTTCGAATGACGCAAAAAGTATGTCTTATTATAGTTCTTATCTTATTAGTCCGAACGTTGATAACCTGTAGTCGTTAACTTTTCTGCGATACCTGTTAAATCAGGAATGTCCCATGGATTATCTTACGGCCTATTCTGTTTCTCATTTTTACTAATAATTTTCCGTCTTCTCTGACCGCGTGTAATTTGTTTTCTGATTAAAAATGTGCAGATGAAGTCTTTTCTTCTCTTTTCCTTTGAACAAAATAGTATAACTCCTAACATTAACAAATGTCGATAGATTCTTTTTTCTCAGTCTGTCACGGAACTACCTTCTCTTTCTATCTCTGTTAATAACAACGCTATCTTACGGGTCTCTTCTATTAAGCTGCTCGGTATTCTTTTGAGTAACAATTGCTCGTGAAAAAGTCATCTTCTCATCAAATTGTAAGGAATACCAGGCGCTATTTCGCATGGTTTCGGTGCCGCATCTATATCTCTTCCTTTGTATCTATAAAAAAACATGTCTCCATCGTGTTGTTGGGTTTGAGTATGTTTTGTATGATTCACCCTTCTGGTTTCATCTATGTGTTCTGGATAACACCCAACGTCTCACTGCACATATCCTCACACAGGACTTCTCTAGGTCGTCTACATCTTCATTCATTCGTCAATTAAACCTGCAACCACTCTCAGAACGTCGTCAATATTAACGTCTCGCTTTTTTACAGACCTTATTACGCAGAAGTTTTCCTCTCTTTTTTCAATCTCTTCTCACCCACGATCTCTTGTCGATCATCGAGATTTGGGCACAGTAAACATGTCAAACTTGCCCCCTGCAAACTCAAAGATTTATCAGTCTATTTTTCCCCACAAACATCTGAGCAATGGAACAATTTACCATCCTCTCTTGTCCTACGTCCACTAAATATATTTAAAAATAATCCAAAAAAAACATTAATGTTCTATTGTTAGTTAATTAACGTATTATCATTTTGTTTTTACAAATGAATTATGTATGCATTTTCTTCATTTTTTTATTATACTATTCTTCATTTTTTTATTCACTATTTTTTTTCTTTGCAGTAAGCCTAACCGTGGAACCTACCTTTGAAACGCTCTCTTGATCTATCTGCTCAAAAAATACACCTTCGTTTTTTAGATATTTTTATCTTACACACTATTAGACGAGTGCTGCAAATACTCAGGCTTTGACTTTAGTCGAATGATTTTATCTTTGACGGTTTTCAAGAAATCTCGGAGGACACTGTCCTTCGCTACACACATAGAAACGGTTAAAAACCCTTCGTTATAACTTTTTATGTTTAGCACAAATCTACGATTAGTTTGCATTGAGTCTCCTGGGATAACATTCGAAATCGTAACTTGTGACTATTGAGAGTGTTCCACATGACTTTTATGAGAGACAAGTGGGAATTTTTGTATACTTCTAATAGTAGCACTTAACGTACATAGTTAATCCTAGTGGCTTTCAGATCAAGTAATACAAGACGACCCTGTGTGGGAGTATTTAATAATATAATGTTCTTGGTGAAAACTTAGGAATTATTCTTCACTAGAGATAGGCAACACTTAATGGAAGTTTCAGCGGAATTTGAAGATGGGATTGAACACTCTGGAAATCCTCAGGCATTTTTCACGTACACTAACTTATATTGAAAAAATTGTTCGTAATTATTTTCATAATTAAATAGTTAAAAATATTTGATGCATATAACAAAAAAATCTCTTGTTCTTTTACAATCGTATTCGCTTGAATATACACGATCATATTGCACAAACGATATTTATCACTAATTATCATTTAATGTCAGATTACTGTTTCAAAAAAAAAGAGTAGGGTATATTGTGCGTGCCATTTGAAGCCTGTAATTGAATTGTACCAATTCAAACCTATACAGTTGGAAGGATATTTCCGTTTACTAGTTGGCACCCTCATGAACTTTCCTTAAACAACTAAACACTCTTCTACTCTAGTTAGTAAAACCATATAGTCACATAATGATTTTAGAAGTTACCATACAAAAAGGAACAATTGAGACAAAGAACAGTAGTCACGAAAAAAAAGCAAATGTACACATTTAGTATCATTTCTATTAGAAAAGCACTAGAAAGAGTTTTGATACCACCAGGTGTACTAATTTCACGAATGACTATTGTGGTAGGAAACACTTTTTTCTTTTTTGAGTAATATTTTTCTACTAGTTAGGCTTTAAAACGTCAAATTAGCTAAATATCAGTGAATTTTCATGAATAATCTACTCTTTTTTCCTTTTTGAACTGATTTTGAAATAAGTTTTTGTCTATAAATGAATCTAAACGTAAAACTATTTTTTTCTAAATATGTCTTATATTGTGTGAAAGACATATATGCTATAATTAATATTTCATTATTAAAGATATTTCCGTTTGGATCAGAATAAAATGTAGTGTTATTATGCAACGCGAATTTTCTTCCTATACTTGGTCGCTCTCTTTTTATAGCCTTTGGCAAAGTCAACCGGTTTCCGGTAATGTGACTATATTTTCGCAAGAAATAGACTCAAAAACATGAACTTTATGGGGAAAACAGCTGAAGATGAGGGTTTTCTAATACGAGCTTCTTCAATTCTCTATGGATCAGAAATAATCAAACCTGACTAAAGAATAACGTCATATCTCCCCAACAATAAGTACTACTGGATCGAAAATTTGCAGACAATTACAACATTCTACATAGACTATGTTTCTGTTGAATGCTAAATTATGAGATGTTATATGATTCTGGAGTAATAGAAACAATAGTGCTCCGAATCATGTGTTCATGGTTTATCATAAAATTCTCGGTAGTCTAGAATTCCTCGGAGAATGCGCAAACATGTCGATTAAATGCTCTATAAGTCGCATAGATGTAAAGGCCAGAGCTACGCTTTGATATAGTTTAGAAGATGCAGGCAACCAGGAATGAAAGAAATATACATGTCAAGTTGTGTTTTGATTAACTTTCTACAAGGAGAAAATTTGTGCTGCAAATTTGTGCGGCAATGTTATGCTGGTAGAAATTAGAACACACATTTAGACAGGTGACGATATCTAAAAAAGAGTTTTGATGTATACCTAAAGGTAATATAATAATGATAGTTCAACAGACATAAATGAATTCGAAATGAAGCTGATGAAACGTATGTGGGAGGATCGCAGTTGATATGTACCGTCTCGATGAATTTTTTTAGAAAAAATCATATTACAACGAAAGGAATCGAGTGTTCGAACCAGTGATAAACCTCTCAGGGAGATAGAAAATGGCACTCGTAGAGAAAAGTCAAAAACTCAAAAAATTTGTATTCTGTCGTCAAAACGACATAAAAACAGGTAAAACGCGGCTTTTTGTATCAGTCTACTGGTGTTAAAAGATCCGCCTCGACGAGAACTTTCGATTCGTATATAGAAGAGTTGGATTTGGTTCGGTTTTCGCACGTTTATAACGGAAATACGTGAAAAAAGCATAACATTACTTTTCCGCTCTAAATTTGACTTTACTCTCTTAACATAGTTTATTAATTACTTAATATAGTCTTAACTAGTTTTACTGAATTTTTTATCAAATGTAGAACTCCACTACATGCATAAAACTCAAAAAAATACTTTTGCCTAGGATAAACAGACAGCCAAAACAAAACGGAAGCGTGACGTTACTTTTTAGTTGAAAAATCACATTTTAAACGGAGTATTCTTCACTTTGCGCCTAAACGTTAATACTTTGGACTTTTGGCAGTAGATTCTGTATGTTCAAGGCTATTTTTCGACTGTTTTGAAGTTAAATTTCGACGTTTATTGGACAAAAAGGTCTCGTGAAGTGTTACTATTGTAGCTTTTTTCGCGTCTTTTCGCATGTTAATCCTTAAAAACAACGTTATTCTTAGAAACAAATAATATAATTTTGTAGCTCAAACAATCCTCTGTCCAACCAAAGAAAAAAGTTTAAAAAAGAATTTAAAGAAAAAGTACGGAAAGGATTTCGTCGAGTTCACTAGAGGTGTGCCACGCAAAATATCATAAAACATGTGTAATATTTCGTAAATATTCCGAGATGTTCAAGAGATGGAAACGTTATTTTAGCAGTATAAGTAGAGAGGACTGTCACGAGTAAAATAAATAAAATTCTGAAAACGGATGGATGGAACCGAAGATGAAGACTTGACTATGATCTCCTCTGGAATGGTACATATGAACTGCGATTCTTCCATATAAAAACAATTACTAAAGACAAAAAACAAATGATTATGCACAAAAGTTACGATAATATCAAAGTGGAGATTTAGTAGATTTGAAAACCGATAACGTTTATAAAATGAATTCAACACCAGAAAGTTTATCACGTAAAGTCATTTCAGTACAATCATTATCTAATAATGTGAATACCTATCGTCTTTGTAGAATAAAATGTACTCTATCTACAAAATATTGTATTAATGATCTCGATATCATAGATCTAGAAAAATATTATTTTTTCTGAGTTACATTCTATTGATTCACAGCCAATTTAGTGGTAGCTTATTCATCTACATTGATTTCTCCTAATATACGATTGAAAACGTGTCGTTTATTTCAGTTTCTCCTGTGATAGACACAAATAAAGTCAGAAACAAATTTCTTCTGTTTTCACTAACTAATCATAGAACAAACAAATGTAGTAGTTATCCGTAGCATATGCTCCCGTCTTACTTCTTCTTTTTATCTCAATACAACAAATTTATTTGGAACATTCGTATTTGTTTCGCATACATATTTGTTTACAACTCGAAATATGCAGGTTTTTATGTCATGTCACGTAGTAAACAAGTCTGGTAGTACCTGATACAATAAAAATACAAATACTACACATAACAAACACTTTTCTCTTCATCATATGAGCGTGTCTATTATGTTATCATATCAAGATAGATGTGTTTGTGTTCGTTTTGGAATCGACAAAAATCACATCCGTTATAAAAAAAAAAAAATAACTAGAGCAGCGTTACGCTCCTTATTGTTATTAAATAAGATTTTCTCTTTTCGAAGAAAATTTATTGTTGTTGCCTAAGGACAAGGATTATGAGATCTTTTCTATTTGTTACTAATCCTTTTGTCTATATTGTAGAATAAATTCGTTTTACCAGCTTTTGTTAACTGTAAATCAATAGTCCGATAAAATGGACAAAAATTGATAAATTATATTGACTTCCGAAAACATCACACACATACACACAGCATCACAGACAAAACAGGAAATAAGTTATGTAATCAATTATATTTTCAAGTAACTCCGATGCTCGCCAAACAATCCTTATTATTATACTACAAATTGTTACATCGACAGATCACTGGCCTAAGCAGAATTCTGTCTCCTGTCATACAACAAATTGCGATCTTCTAGCGTTTGCTTCATCAATCACATGTCGATTAAATGCATTATATGCAGATAGTTGTGCTTTATGAGAAACAACTTCCAATCCTTTCACATGAGCAGTTTTACACTAAATTACAAGAAAAAATGAGAGGAAAAAAAAATCTTTCGTTCTCGAACTTGTTAATTTATTTAAAATCTTTTCAGAAGAAAGCTCGAAAAATGGTATGGAAAGATTAACAAGGTTTATTAGCTGTTCTTCTCGTATAAAGTGATGAAAAAACCTTTGTCTGAGTAATAGAAAAGACTTATTAAAAGTTATCATGAAAAGTTGTCTCAATAGATTGATCTTATGTTTATTTGTTATACTATTAGAAATTAAATGTTTTAGACAAATATATCAATACTGAAAATTTTTAATTAAAGTTTTTTTTTATTACCTCGAGATAGATGGCAAATGGCATAACGATTGATGCAACGGTAATATCAGCTATAGCCAAACTGACAACAAAATAATTTGTAACAGTATGAAGTGATTTTTCCCTATAAACACTAATAACAACGAGTACATTTCCAAATATTGTTAATATCGGTAATATAATTAATGAAAATGCTAAATAACTTGTTGAATTTTTACTAATTATTGTTGATATTAATGGCGATGTAAACGTATCATTAAGTAAATAAAGTTCATTAATATCCGTTGGTATTGGTAATATCAGTGATAATGTATCATTTGTTTGTTGCATGACGATGACAATAGGATTTGATGGTAATAGAAAATTATTAGATAAATGTACGACGACGACAATAGTAGACTTTTGAACATTTGAAATAAAAAATGAGAAATTTTTCTTTTGCTTCTTTTTTTTATTATTACTCGTATTTTGAAATTCAATATGAATGATAACGTTCGCTGTTGTTGCCACTACAATTGAGGTTTCAAATTGTCCTCTGAACATGTCCTGATTGATTCCTATTTAACCATGTATCATGTCTCATTTTGGGACCACCATGCGTGAGAAAAGTCGACTCATATAGCAGAGAAAGAACAAAAAATAAAATAGCCAAAGAAAACTAGAATCAAAGAAGAACGAAAAAAAAAGAAAAAGAAATGGAGATAATTTTTAATTATTATTGCTGTTCTGCTGTTGTATATGACTGTTTGTCATTCAAAGTTAGTTTCAGGTATAGTAGATGTATAATTTTCTTTTAAATATATAATGAATTTAAAATGCAAAATAAAATATTTGTATATCATTGATATTTATTAGAAAACTATATTGGTCGTCGTACATATTCTAAAAAGAAAGAAAAATCTTGAAAAAAAACAAGAAAATAGTTTGCTTACTTTTAGACAGAAGATTCTCAACTATTTTACCATCATACAATATGATAATTATTTGACTTAATTCCTTGAGCTCTCCCTCTTTTCGTCTAAAGAAATCTACCAAGCGCATATTTCATCAGTCATATTTGGGAGGCATGATATCTATTCATAACGTTTCTTACGATTGATGTATTATACAAATTAGAAAAAAACGACAAAGAGACATGCCACACTCTGAGCTGGGATATAGAATTTATGATAATTGTTTTCTTGATGTTCATCAAAAACACAGCGTAGAAGACAAATGGATTTGAATTTTTTTTTTCATATCCATGCTAAGAATAGCATTTACCCTATCATTTTGCTGATTTATTACACTATTAATGTGTATGATCATTTTTTTTGTTTTTATTTTTTTTTTTTTTTTAGTATAAGAAAAGGAAAAGATAACGAAAAGAGGAATAAAAGACAACAGAGTTGCGTTAATGATATGTTTTAACAATATTATCATTGACAATGACAAACGACAACTGATAAAAAGAAAAGCTTTAAACTGTTCTCTAGAAGTTTATTTTTAAAGATAGTGAAATCGATCCTCTTAGCACTCGATAAAAATGACCATATATAAATAAATAAATAGATTTTTTTTTTTTTTTTTTTTTTGTTGATCTATTATTAACTAGCAAGAACGTTAATAAAATAGCACTTTCACAATTTCTTTAGAAAAATAAAGTGCACATCATACAATTTAAACATGATATATACATTGAAATCTAGTAATACGAACTGTCATATCGTTTAAAACAAACTAAAATGTTATCAACATGATATATTTATTTTAGTCTATCTATCTTTTTTTTAACATCGTTTATTTATTTTCTAAAATGAGTAACAACATATTTTTAGTTGACATTTTTTGTTTATTTTTTTCGTACTCTACTCTTATCAATTTTTTTGACATAACTAATAATTATTAATTTGACTTGAACAGCTGGCCTATCGAAAGTGATATTTTCATAAACTTTTGTATACATTGAAAATATTTAACATTCTGTCATACATGATAATAATGAAATTTGTAATGACAAAAAACAATAACGTAGGACTCTTGTCTATAAAATGACATTTCAATCATGTTAGACATCTTCCTGTTAGAAATATACAAGACAGCCATGCGACTGACGGTTGTCGTTTCCCACTTCAATCAAAGATATTGCAGAATTCTATAGAGAAATAGATCAAGCGCATATTTCAAGATCAATCAAAGCCATAGCTAACAATGATAACTTGAGGGCAAGTTTTGAATGCAATAGACAAGAAATGATGATTTCAATGGTAATATAATAAGATTAACAGAAAGAGTCAAAATATGTTATCAACCTTCTCTCAAGCAACAATTACAAGAAGAAGAAAAAAACGGCGTTGGTAATATTTCTTCAACCAAAGAAGTTTAGAAGAACAATGAAAATGTTAGCTATACGACAAATTATTACAAGATCTAAAATATACTACTGAATACAGTCAGTTAAAACTACTAAAGTTTCGTTGTTTATAAACAAACATTATCCATCGAGAAATTTGAGTATATAAAATGGCGTGTACACTCGTGAATATCATGAAATGCATTTTAATCGCACACAAAAATCGTAATGTATGAGTATGCGTGAAAAATATATTTTTCACGTGAGACAACGTGTGAATTGTTCACGGAAACTTTTCGCATCATATTTTTCGTACAGGGTCACTAATAAAATATCATCAAATAGTGTGTGAACACATGTAAAAAGAAATTCTCGCTTGTGAACGCGTGTGAAATTATAAAAAGTTCACATATGATCACGCATTAGATGTTACACGATCAAAACATCATGAAACTTCGAAAAAAAATTCCCCATGGGTAGTTTATCATGTCCATGAAAAGAATACATAGTGGACTTTCTGTACAAATAAGTCATAAATATTACTCTTATAAACGAAAAAACATCTCTTTTCTAAGTTGATTTTACGAAGATATTGTTCGATGAATGTGACTTAGAAACAAGATAAAAATATTTTCATAGTTCACTCAGCAGATATCATCTATTTTTAAATGATCATGATACTAATACTAAACATATTTTTTTAGTAATTGCTTTGTAATATTAATGTAGATTACATCTATATTGAGTGACATTAGAAGAAAAACACAACACGATGCATTACGGATGAGTGATATGATATCAAAACTAAGTCTCACGTATCAAATATATAGTCTCATACCAAAACTGTAGTAAAAACACCATGTCATTATTTTTCTGAAGGTTATAAACATATTTACAGAATATTCTACGTGCACAGACTATACAAGATAAAAAATAATGTTTTAATTTGATTAAACACTTTCTCTCTCTCTCTCTCTCTCACGGTTTCTTACTCTATCCTAGATTAAATAAACTTCATACGATGGTAACAGCTGTGATACATTTATATTCACGTTAAAAAGTTTATCATATTAAAAGAAAAGAATAATTTATTAAATGAAGATTTCTTCAAAGCAGAAAATTTTTTTAGTTTTAAGTTCTTATTCAGCTCTATCGACTAGAAAAACAGAGACTCTTTTCATTTTAAACACTTTCATCTCTTTATATTTGCCTGATGCACGAGAAGATCTTAAAATATTGTAAAAAACAAAAAAAAAACTAAAACAAGTTCAAACACAAACAACAGAGAAAGAAACCCTCTTAGCAAACAAAAAAATTTATATTTTATTTTATAACGGACACAATAGACTTAAACAAAGAAAGTTAAGCAAACGAATCAAAAAAAGATACTTGATCAAAGAAAATAATGAAAACTCATAGAGATCATCTTCAGAATATTTTTCAACTCAAATAATTTGTGATTGAAATTTATATTATAACAGACCGTTGCACATAAGAGTTAGTAATAATTGTGGCAAAAGGAATCCTCACCTCCCTGAAGCTAAACTCAAAGAGATTAGACATTTTACACTTAGTGAATGCTGTTCAAATTATCAAATGTCTTGGTTCTTTTTCAGTTATATTCTTCACTATATAAGGTAAATAATTAAATGTTAAAATAAATGAGAATGAACTATAAAAATTTGACTGAGCACAGTTGCATAAACTACAATTTCCGAAAAAATATACTGACTTAAATTATAAAATTTTATATCACGCTAATTGAACAGCAACATAGATCAAAGAAAAAACAATTACATTATCCAAGATTTAACAAGGCATCAACAAAATAAAAAAAAAAGAAAAAAAGAAAGGTTATCGATGTGTGTGTGTGTGTGCGTGTCCAATAGTTTTACATGTAATAGTAACAAAATATGAAATTCAGAAACAAAGTCAAAATCATTTTACCAACTCAACTCTTAAAATTAGTTTCATTAAATACTTGAAAATAAGTATTTTTTAAGTTGTTAATGACTTTCAATTACTATCATCAGACTGAATAAATCATTCCATTTCGAGTGTCAAGAATCTATCATAAATTAATTGATGAATACAAATAAACATTTTCCAAATTTATAGTGTTTTCCGTTATTCAAGTATTTTTCAATTTAAGTGAAAATAAGACTTTTAAAAAAAAAAAATCTCGAGCATCATCACCCATTTCTTAACTCAAAAATAATAAATGATATCCAATAGTGAGAAGTATTTAAAAATTATTATATAGTAGAGAATTATAATGTATAGATCATTGATAAAACGTTTATCAATTTTTTTTTTTTGTATAGTATGATTAGTTTTTTTGTCCAGAATAATAAAATAGAATAAAAGAAAAAATTTCATAAAAACAAAAAGATACTTTAATAATCAAAAATCGGTTACATTGACCATTATTTTACTTTTTTACTTTTTTTTTCACTAGTATCAACAATATTTTTTATGAAATATAAAAAAAATTGATTAAAAGTCAATTATTCTCACTCTGGATTTGAAGTAGATGGGCGGTATGGTGCTAATAGAGAGAAATGAAAAGATAGGATTTACAGTAATTTCCTGATCGGAATAGAATAAAAATACCTTAAATATTTTGATTCTTTAATACCTGTTGAAACTAGGCGTCTTGTATTAGGTATATGTTCAATTGAGGATGTTTTCTTTCTCTTTTTTTGTTTCTGTTTATTACAAAATCAACACGATATATGTTTGATTGATTAAAACAAAAAAAAAAAAAACTTTAATATGTGCTAAGTTATGAGATGAAAGACTATAGAACATGTGTTTGAATATCGAGAAAAATGTGACTCTTCGGCAATTTATTTTTTATTCCCAAAAAATATTTTTTAATTTTTCTTTCTAATACAGACGATATGAATATCTTAGATTTCTTTTTTTTTGTTTTATAACAAAAAAACAATTTATTTTCCTTCAAAACAATCAAAAGGAAAACACATACAGATGAAATGAAGACTATTTTCTTTTTCTTCTACCAGGTAACAAAAAAAAAAAAAAAAAAGTTAATTTTTCAAAAAAGAAAAGAGATAGGGGCACCTGTACACAATCTAACAACAAAATTGACAAGATTCTCTAGTTATAGCTCACATCATATTTTTTCTTCTTTTTTTTTTTTCTCACTCACTTCAAATCTCCATATGTTTTCTATTAACGTTTATGTATC